TCTGAATAGTTACATGTGTGCTCAGTCAGTGGCATTCCCACTATCTCGAGTTGAAAAAATTACACGTCTGTCAGCTTAACGTTAGCTTGACTTCTTATTGCTGGCATGTCTGAAGGATTACTAGCCGCTTTAGTGTCTTGCCCACACCACACTTCCTAGTTATAATTGGTGCCTACTTGCATCAACATGTGGAATCTACCATTAAGACCTCGATGCAATTGCGGAGACAGTCGATCATTACACGTAAGGGGCAAGATGAAAGAAAATAAGGCAAGTAGCTACAAAAATCGGTTTCGGCTCCTACTGTTTGTCATCATGAAGTCACGTACGTATGACGAAACACCATCAAATGTACCACTATTCTAGAAACCAATCCAGAAAACAAAATAACACACCAATAGACAAAACTGTTCGAACAGAACAACCGTTTGGAATGTCACGGAAATTTCCTCAAACTTCGAGTCGGTCGGTCATGGAATGCCATTTCAAACCAAGATACTTTAGGCATGGTAATATTAGCAATACCATAATTTGTTCACTTAGCACCCGGAAGAGCCACCAAGTGCAACTGGGCGACTTTTCTCGTGGGTACGGATAGATAGGTTAGTCTTGGTAGAAAATTCATGGATCTGTCCAGCCCGTAAATTTAAGCGTCGCAACCTTGTCTTTTAATCCGAGGGCGCGGGTTCAAGCTTGCTTAGAAGACCGGGAGACCCTCGCAGTATCCTTAGCCCAAGTGCGGTTGATGGTACTTCAGCTGCGGCGAAGAGCCGGAACTACGTAACTGTAAAGTGCTGATGCTTCCTTAAGAATTGCATCCACTTGTGGCCATGAGAAAGCAGTGGCCCATTGTTACATAATGGAGAGAGGCTGATTTGCGCAACAGACCCGAGGTTCCCGAGAAACACTACTCGGATGGACACAATTCAAAAGGAAGGCTTTTGAAAAAGAACGCCAGCTGCGGCGTGCTATAGAAACAGATTTTGGTTTGCAGTGCTTTCGTTCACTGCATAGACTAGACAATATTTTGCACGCAGCTGGGTACAATGTAGTTCGGTTAACTGCTTCATCTAGTAAAGTGGTGCGTGCATGTGTGCAACGATGGAACTACGTAATGTACCCGGAGATGTAACTCGCGGCTCGTCATACGCATGCTGCAGCAACCATTCAAGAATATCAACATACATGCTATGTTTGCAAAGACCTCTTCCACAACTAGCACTGGAACTGCAGTGTCAGCAAAACGCGGATGGTGCGAATCCCCTTGAGGACGACGTTGAAAGCCGATTTCGGAATGGGTCCTCATCTAGGTTTCCTGACAGCGGGTCTAGTAGCCTCAAACTTAGCAGTAAAGCAGTTGAGATAACCAAGTTCGTCGGCCAACACATCCACCAGTATTGCAGACATGTGCAATTTCCCGTGAGGTGAGAAAACTGAAATGTTGACCAAACAGTGGACCAGCCGCTGCTGTACAATCTCAAATGCACGCATGACTCGTTAGATCACATGATGTGAAATACTCATGGAATGGGAAGTGAGGAACTCCTGAAGCTCTCATGATCACGATGTTCTAGTCATTTTAGAACAGTTTGTGAGCAATTCAAAAGATTTGTCTCGTGCACTATCGCTCATTGTGGTACCATGGAGTAGCCACCATGTGTCTTGGATTGCGACACTTACCTTCTACTGATGCCATGATTTACTTTGAAGAAAATCTCTGCACTGCACTACACGCCCGACCGGTTTCGTCCTGATTTGGACTTGTCAGGTAGAGACAGCCTGATCTGAGAGTGGTTGGTGGCTTTCATCTTCGTCACTAGGCCAGACCTCTACAGTAGCGCTTGCCACAGCGGTTAGAAGTTCGTTATTGGATGCTGGAGTACCCGCCGTGTGTTTGGATTGCGACAAGCAATCTCGATTGAGGCTACATGTTGTTTTGAAGAAAACCTATGACATTTCGATCACTGGAACCATATCTGAAGTGGAGAGTTTCGGGACCACTTTACCCCCACACCACACTCATGAACTGTCTTGTTTATGAAAAATCCTTTATTTTTCTGTATTGAGTCTAGGTAATAAATCTTTACTTTCCTTTGCTTTCGAAAACCATAATCTATTTAGCACATGGAAATTATTAACAATGTGGAAGTAGTACCACTCTATTCACTTTCAACTCCTACACCCATTGCCCTGTTAGACAATTATTATCACGACTCCCTCTAGTGACGTTGGTGACTGTACGTTAGGAATGCATAATGCGGCAATATTTAGGCCAAAGTAAGATAAATAAGTAAGTAAATGCTTGTATGGTTATAAAGAATGTGGTATCCTCTTTCTTCTCACGCTAGTATCTTTTCCACCGTAATGATTTAAAAAACGATTGGGCTATACTCTATCCAGTTCACATTACGTGACATAGTCATTTTTCATCGAAAGACGAAGTAACGCAGTGTGCTCATTAGCCATCTCCTTAACGGATCGGTGAACAGATCACCATGAGTTCATGTGATTAACTGGGGGAGTCACCTCAAGGCGAATTTTCTATTTTCCTATCACTTTAAGCAATGACTTTATTATCCCATTCGGGTCATCCTGAGGGGCTTGTTAAGCAATGCTTTATACCCGTTACAAATGATTGTTCATTGTTCTGGCTTCGCATATACTGCAAGTAGTAGTGACGGTTAAACCGGCGTGGATTAACAATGGTCCAAATCATTGGCTCCGAGAGATCATTTCGTTTAGGTAAAAGATAAGTTCACTAGAAACCAGGATGTGCGACACACTTCCCTGCTGCAAACAGCAAGCAGAAAATTTTTCCCATTGGTCGGGGCGTGAACTGCGTCTTACTTGCAGTTGTATTGCACTATACCTATGAAAGTGACGCCGTTGCAAAACGAACCGCACCGTGTAAAGCAAAACTCCATGTCAACCGACTTCTTCGAACTCGGTTGCAACACGATTTGGCCATGTAGTTATTTTAATTGTCTGCCAGTTCGATTCGCAACCAGAAAGATATTGTTTCTTTCCGGTTTTACCAGCAGATTGTTAAAAATGGACAGTCCCACAGGGTTTTGGTTTTGTTTTTCCTTATAAAATACCATGGAGGCTTTTCCGTAAACTAGAAGATAGTCGACTAGCTCACTGCGTTCATGCTACCTAAGGTGCAGTGGCACCATGCACTTGCAGCGTGGATGTATTCCCATTTTGGGCCGTTAAAAGAGTCTGGTGTATGAACTAGTCCCAATCTATCCGAGTTACTAAAGATTACTCGTTCACAAAGCACCCATAAACGGCTTAAGCTTGTATTCCATCGACCGGGTAGATTTCCTCGTTTACCCAGGATTTTAAATATAAGTGTCCTTGGAATCGGAGGGCCTCATTAATTAACTGCGTTATATCATAACGCTGCCGTAACCTCCATACAAATTACTCAAGGAGAACACAACGCTTCTCAAATAACCCTGATATCTGGACTTTACGCTAACCACTACATCAAAATATTGATCACTACTCTAAAGTTCATTAGTGTAGATGTAGCTTCATGGAGTACTGACTCGTCATTATCTCACCATACCATTATCAATCCGTAGTCGTGTTGGCAGCTTACTTGCCATCTCAGTTGGTAGCTGCTTGCAAAGGAAGTCGTAGCCTTGTGCTCTGCAAGTTCATAACACGCATGACTGTAGAGGATGAGCCGCGCTATATCACAGTTACATTTCAGTCCTGGTCGTCCGAAGCCGTCGCTCATGTCTCAGTGGGATAAGTTGCTAGCTCCTGAGATCAAGGCCATGAGATCGAATCCGGCAGAATTCGACTAGTGCGCGCCACTGACGAGTACCAATAGAAAAAATATCCACCTAGCGCTTTCCTGGATGGGTGCTAGCTGTCTGCCTGAACCTAGCTGCGAAGTATCTTATCCAAAAACCCAATAATTCACCCATTACTCACTAGCACCAGAGTGCATACTCTCTCTCATCCAAGTTTGCCTCCAGTCTTGTGTTGCATCACGAGCGTGGTGGCAGATGACAGTATGGGTGCATGGAACGAACTAGTTAAGAGCAAAGAAGCCAATTTAAGTGCGTCAGTGGACCTGGACGCAAGACAATGACTGTGATACCAACTAGTCAACTGAGCGAGAAAAGTCAATGTGGGATCAGCGGACAGACAGCCACCCAACCAAGACTCATACGGGAAGACAGGATCGCACAGGCCAGAAGAATAACTCAGAAGTACCGCGGCTTTGCGGTATAATCCGTATGTCGCGGTGTCGTATATTAGGATGGACTCGTTTAATCGACTGGACTTGAGATAATATCACAAAGCTCTTGAGAGTTTAGAAGAGCAATTCATGACCTTTCGGCAGCGTTTTAACCATCTGCAGTAAACGGATCAAAGCTGGGGACTTCGGGTGTTTATACAGTACCTCACCTGATGTCGACAATAACACTTGGCTCTGGGTGCGGAAGACATCAGGTGAACACAGTGTGCAGATCAATGAACAGAAACAAACGGCGTTTGGCAGGTTAACGAAAATTTTCCTGAATAATTCTTTTACAATGCGACACCCCTTCAAATATACTATGGTTTAAATAGTCTAATAGTATTTTAATCACTACACAGACCTTTTTCCTTTCTTTAAGGATATAACACAATGGGAATCTATGACTTAATACTGTACATGCTTGAATTTTAGCTGCTCTATATTTCATGCATGTATCAGATTTTAGTTTTCATTTTCTACCGCTGAATGGAAGTGCGTGCATCGGTGATTGTTTTCAGAGTTCCTGTGAAGTATACTGATGCGTGGTGTGCGGACCTTTAATTCCACGCAGCAGTACACTAGACAGAAAACGGCATTGGCCATTTTCTTCACAGGACTTCGTTTGCCATGCTGTTGGGACAACGCATGAGTGAATTTGCACAGCGATCACCGATACTAGTCAAAGATGACAGATAAAGGCGTACTCACGAGAAAAATCCACAGTTGCAGCCTAAATAACTCACTGCGTGTCCGTTTGTTTGACCACCCTTGAGGAGACAGGTTGGGAATAGAGACGATGTTCCAGTTGCCGTCTTTCACACTCGCACGCGTCCAACTTCCTTTGCAGCTCGGCTTGTTCCATCAGCATAGATTGTACTTGTTGTTCCTTTTGGTTGTAAGTTTGGCGTAAAATTTCGTAGTCCCGGACTAATCTCGTATGTTCTGCTTTCATCTCGTCAAACAGGTACTGTGTCCGTTTGTCTTTTGAGTACGTTTCACGAAGCTTGATAAGCAGTCGATTATTCATGTGAATAGAAGTAAGAAAGATGGGAAAATCAAGCGATAAATGTTTTCGAAAAGTAATTTAGTTTTTGAGTAAAATGCAACGGCGAATTGCCATAGCGCCGTAGAAATCGAACTAGACCTCATCGTGTTATATATATATATATATATATATATATATATATATATATATATATACGCCAACTTACATTTAATATACATCTACTTAGCTTGTAGGAATTAGTTGCTTTGCTAGGTTTTGTTATTCAGCAGCATACTCTGTGTCAAATTTCCGTGTCTATTTTCCTTCAAATTCTTTGTTAGTTGCTTGTCCTCCCCAGTTTGGCTTCGCTTGATATGAATGTTGACATGATGCCTACCTGTCTAACACCGCCCACCACGATTACTGACTCCGGGCGACTGTGAGTCGTTGCTGGGAAAGGGGTGCACGGTTCCAGTGGCCATGCTCGATTCGCTGTGGTTCCATGCATCCAGTGTGCAGTGGACTAATGCCGTCCCATCACCTTGTGTACGTCTGGTACGCATGAGTCCCTAATTGGATAGTCAGGAATATTGGTACTCGACATGTTGTATGAGTGTGGGCGCGTTCCGTCGACAAAACGTAGCTCCCATCCACCTGCTTCCCGATCTTATCCCTTCGGGTTTACATTGTATATGGGGCGTGCGGATGGAGCTGTGAGTGCGGCAGCCTAAGCCCCCCACAGTCGCTCGGTAGGCGCAGGCGTCCTATGGCTGCCATTTGAAGGCCACCACGAAAGGAGAATCCGGAATCAGACGCCGCCGACCATATCAGACTATATATATGCGAAGTTATCTCTCGGTTTCCTGATCAAATAATGGAGGTCCATAGTACCGAGACGGTCGTAAGCCAACTGATTGGTCGCAATCTAGAACCGATTGCCACTTAATTGCATCTGACAATATGACTTTCCCAGGTTCCAACTCAGAGTGTGATCACCAAGCAGCCATCTTACTCCTGTTAACTGTCTGGAAAACTGAGAATTTACTTTCACTTGGAGGTGCTGTATCTGCACTCCTCTAGCTTTGAAATCAAGAAGTTCCCTCAATTTTGTGCACATGATAATGGTGGTTTGCGAACTTACGAGGCCTTAGTATGCTTTGAACCAATCGCGGTTCCCGTGTGCAAACAAGGTTCCGCTTTCCTTGCACCAAACTTACTCCAGCTATATGCATCAAGTGTTGTCGTGCTGAGTGCTTATGGTGAAGCTACCACTAGTGGAGTTTCGTGGACTAAATGAAAATAACAGCTGAATACATGTCAATATACGGTCGTTTTCTAAAGTAGCTCATTGGGTCTTTTGCATTTGAAGTCGAAACTACTACCGAGACGGTTTAACAGCATCTTTCCGGTTCGTCATTATCATTATACAAGTTAGCTGGTAGAAAACACCTCAGCTATTGTTAACAACCTTGTAGTGGTTCGTTCTACGACGAAAAGCCTCGCGACTTTGGGACTAAGTAAAAGTGACAAGCATGACATCCAGATGATCCAGGAGATCCCATCTCCTTAACCACGTGTCATGGTGGCATGTACGAACTATTGGATACAGCTTAGAGTTGACATGTCAAGAGCCTCAGATCTAACATCGATGAGCAAATGGCTACACGGAGTTCCCCAAGATATTAATCCAGACCTGTCCATCACCGCAATGAAATGTGGTTTATATGTATAATTGCCCGCCGTCGTTCGATTTGTGATGAAGCGCCAATCTTGCTACTTTAAACCCGTAGTCCACAACTCCCAGGCCGCGGACGGGTACCAGTCCGTGGATCAAAAGGTACCGTTCCGCCCATAACACATTAAATTATTTCCATTTTATTTGCTGTGGTGTATTCAACTCGAGATTATGCGAGTTGTCATGGACGACAGGTTAACCGTGAGCTGAGCGGCTGCGAGCAGCCTTAGCACTGTAGCTTACCTGGAGAGAAGGTGTCTATCGGTCTTCTCTCTGTTTACCGATACTTACTCATGTTTAACAGTGCTTAGTGTACGTGAATATTGTATTTTCTTTTCGCCTTTTCCGTCCACATTTACTATCTGAGTTTCACGATTTTTTTATTTTTCAGGTTACATTTCGTCCACGTGGGCGCTCAAATTTTACCCACAAATTAGCAAAACTCAGTGCGAAACAAATGTCGTTAGAATGTTTCCTTGAGAAAATGAAAAGCCCAGTGAAGAGACCGAATAAGAGCTTTCAACAGCAAAGCGACACATGAATTTTCCCAGATAATACCATGGGTCCTAACTAAAATATTGATTTAGCGGGACGGGTGATTCCTACTCACCAACCGCGCACTGCATGGTTTGCGACGGCCGACTCTCTAAAGAGACAATGACACCTTCAAAACTGCTTCGCCACTTGAACGCCAAGCACCTTGGATTAAAAGACAAGCTCCTGGAGTAATTTGAATAAAAAACAGGAATACGAAGGATCGAAGAAATTACTGAGGACCACCACCTCAATAAAGGAGAATGCATTGAGCGCATTATATTTGGTGGTTAATTGTATTGCTAAGGCTATAAAGCCATCCACCATTGGTAAAGAATTGATCCTGCTCTCAGCTATGAACATTTGTCGTGGACTTCTAGGAAAAGCCGCTGTTAAAACGATAGGACATTTACCTTTTTGGACTAACACTGTGACTGGGTGAATTGAAGAAATAGTCGAAGACGTTGCGATACAACTGTTGGAGAGGATTAATACGTCACTGTGGTACACACTCCAGGTCGACGAATCTACAGATATCGACAACAACGCAATACTACTTTTTATGTGCACTATCTTTAGCAGGAGGATGTGCACCAGGACTTGTGCACTATCTTTGCCAAGTAAAGTCACAGGAGCAGAACTGTTCAAGTCACTGGATGGTAATATATCAGGACAACTAAAGTGGTCGTTTTGTCGGCATATACACTGACGCAGCTGCTGCCATGACCGGATGACTGTCTCGTTTAACTGCTCTGATTAAGGAGATTGCATCCGAGAATAAACCTACCCATTGTATCATTCACAGGGAAACAATGGCAAGCCGAAAAATGTCGTCGGAATTTAACAGCCTACTGATTGATGTCGTTGAAGTTATTAACCACGTCAAAGCACACGCCCTTAACTCGCAGCCGTTTGAGCAGCTTTGTGCAGAGATGAACACAGAGATGTACAGAGAAATAAGATCGATATCCAAACGAAAATTACTAACCAGACTACTTGAATTATGAGAACTATTGCAAAGATTTCTGTCACAAATGTAATCACCACTGACAGCCCTTACAAGTGAAAAGGTATGGATCGAAAAGATGGCTTACCTGCATGACCTATTTAGCCTGCTCAGTGAACTCAATCTATCCATTCATGGGAAAATGACAGCTGTTTTCAAGTTGTCAGACAAAGTAGCTACATTTGAAGTCAAACTGGAGTTGCAGGGAAGGGGCAGGAACAGAGGCATTTCGGACATGTTGTAAACATTAGCGGGGATTTTACGAGAGATTGACCTTGAGCATGTATTCTCCCAGTTAGTGTACCATCACCTGTATGTGCTCTTCAAAGAGTTCGATCGCTACTCCCCAACCAAAACAGACCTGCGAATCGGTAAGAAATGGATCCGCGACCTATATGTCAACAAACCAGGCGAATCTAGCACGCCCGTGCAGGGATATCAACTGCTGGTGATGGCAAATGACGGCGACCTTAAAACTACCTTCTACACAACAATTGTCAATGTTCTGGAGTTAAGCCATGGATTATTACCCTCAGACTGCCAACACAGCATTTAAACGTATGGCCATTTCCGACGTCCTATCTGCATGAAGCAGGGTTTTCTGCAGTGACAGCAACCAAAAACAGAAGGAATAAATTGGACATAATCAACAGTCTTGTTGCAGAGAAACAAGCTCAGGGTTCTCAGTGACTTAGCGTTGCAGTGGGTTAGCATGTTACATCATCACATTCCTTTTTTAGTGTAACTGGTTTATTTTGAAGGCGCCTAATTACAAATAAATACAAATACGAATAAATAAATATAGATATAAATAAATAAATATAAATAAATAAATATAATTAATCAATGCCGTCCCCCTCGGTGGGCCGCAGTAAAAGTATCAAGCGCTGACCGGTCCGCGATAAAAACTTGGGGACAGCTGGTTTAAACTATCTAGTTCATTGTTTGTATTGTGTACTGCTTCCGTCAATGGGATTCGACTCTCAACATCAATATAATGTTCTACTACTTACTGAAAATGAGTAGTGTCAATTGAGCGTTCGAAGCAATATGGCGAATATTTGCGCTAGTGTCCAGCCAAGGACCGAGAGGTCGATTCATGTCAACATACACTTAAAAACAAATTGAAAGGATATTGCTCCGTAAGCATATAAATCAATAAAAACCACATTATCTACCTTTTCAATCAGTGTGTTTTTCTCCTGCAACTCCGTTTGAAGTCTCTTGTTGCTTGATTTGCAATCCCTGTATCGTAAGTCCGCATTGCGTTTGGCACTTTCCAGTTCTGCGGTTTTTTGAACAAGTGACTCATATTCTCTCCGAAGCGTTTGTAGTTCGATGGAGACAGTTTCAGATACGCTTATAATGGATTGAGAGAGAAAGAGAACGAGGGTGTTGTTTAACATGGGAATCATACAAGACTTTCTTTGCTGTGACAAACCATCAAATTCTGCGGTTCTTCGATGAAACAATGTGGTTTTGCACACCATCGTTTATTTGCATTTGTAACAACTAGCACAATGTGCTTCGCGACTATTTACACAAGTGCTCGATTTGTGATTGTTTGGGAAAAAAAGAATACATGAGTATCTGTATAAAGAACTCATGCAAAGAACCCATATCATAAGTCGCACATGACATAGGTTTACCGATACAACATTTTTGGTCTCCGCGTAAAGAGAGCTGGCGATACCAGAGCATTTTAGTTAAACTGAAGTAAACCACATCAAAGACTGATAGTTTATAAATCGCTTAGGTTCAAACACCAAATGTTGTGACTTATTACCTTGAAACACTGCAATCCAAACGAGTTTTGCTTTTCATCCCTATCTTCATGCACAGTTAGAGCAAATGCGACTGCATCGCAAGAAAGGTGGCCTGCTGGGAGGGGCCTTGACGCCTACTTCATTGAGCCATGAGTAGTTTTTCATACAGGGTTTAATGACGGTTCTGGAGTGTGAGTAGGTAACACCTAACATCCACCAGTTTCAGATATGGTCCAGGTAACTGAACTGTCTGAAATTCGCTCCAGAAAAGATCGCTACTCACCTTGAGATTATATGTCGCAACCCAATTACGCAACAGGATCTGTGAAATAACACATCAGCCGCTAAAGACTCGCAAAGTAAATGAGCCGGGTTAATGTCTTTCACTGCATAGTATTGCATTGGGTTAGACCTTTACATGCACGCTTTCTGTTGAACTAACTAGGAGACATGATTGAAACAGCTGGCCGGAGATCAAACGTTGCGCTCATTTCTGTCAAAATCCGAAAGCTTACACATTGTCATACTGAGAGACGACAATCGTTTCAACTCACGCGGACTAGAAAGATGCTGGTCAACCCTGAACTGTAAACTTCCTGTGACAAGGATCCAGGTTTCTTAAATCAACCTACGAGGTACAATCAAGACTCCCTTAAGCTAGGTCTGTACTCAGTGACTGACAAGCGTATCATTATGGGCTCTCGAATTTTGGATACGCTCCAAAATATTAAATCGCAAGTCGCTGGATCTATACCTTTAACCTTACTCTGAAAAGCTTCCTCTATGGAAAGCGTTCTCTCGGGAACAATTTCAACACAGCTTCTTACTATCATTACTTACACATTTCGGCAATTGCTTGCACTACTCATGCGCACAAAATTTCGTTGCGTCAAACAACCATCCTGGAATCTCACCTAATTCGATAGTGGCAATAGTATTAGCAACTGTCTAACGAACAGACATAAAGCCAAACAAAATA